GTCTAAGATCTTGGGGACATTTTTGATCTTTGTCCTGATGAGGTTAATAGCCCTCTTTCCTGATAAATGGCCCAATCTACATGGATGGTAGCAAAAGTGTACAAATTTTTTGTGCCCATCTTAGGGCTTGAGTAATGGCTATCAATTCCACCCACCATGCTAAAGTTCCCAACCCTAAAGCTTGGGCCCATATTGCCTCAGTTTCAGTGGTCACTGTAGCTCCTGCCACTGGAGTACCATGGTGGATGTAACTGCTGCTGTCTGTGAAAGGATGGCTTCAGACTGGGCAAACAGAACATCAGTCAGGTCAGCTCACAGGCTTGAAACTGAGTCAATAATGTCCATACAATTACATATAGGCATTGCAGGGTTATCATCAGGCAGAAAAGTCACTGGATTGAGGGCAGAGGTAGATAGAAATTCAATGCAGTCAGTGTCCGGTAAAAGGGCTTGGTATTGGACAATGCGAGGGTGGAAAGCCATCTATCTGGAAGGGATTGCAGAGTGTCTCCACAACATGTGGAGCCACTATCTGGAGTCTCTGGCCAAAAGTCAACTTGGTGGCTTCCTTGGTTGTGGTGGTTGCAGTTATCTGTAGGCAATTTGGCTATTCTGCAGCTGTGGGGTCTAATAGCCAGGAAAGATAGGCGACAGGCCTCTTTTAGGGTCCTAGGTGATCTCATGGCTCTTGGCCACATGCAACTGGAAAGGTTGGACTAAGTGAGGGAGAGTGAGAGCTGGAGTGTTCATGAGAGCCTGTTTTAAATCATCGAAAGCTTGTTCTTCTAACTCAGTCCAGGTTAGAGGTCCAGATGGATCCCCTCCAGTAGAAGTGTAGAGTGGCTGGGCCATTTCAGCAAAACCCAGTGTCTACAACTGGCAGATCCCAAAGCACCTAGAAATTCTCTAACTTGATGTTTAGTCTTTGGGGAAGGGATTTTAAGATAGCCTCAATCCTTTTATCCAATAAAGCCCGTTTTCCTTTTTTAATACATACCCCAGATAAATGACTTTGGGCAGGCAGAGCTGTGTCTTTTTGGCAGAGACTTGATAGCCCACTTTGTCTAAGTCTCTCAGTAGGGCCTCCATGGCTTCTAGACAAGAGGACAAGTCTGCAGTGGACAGTAGTAAATCGTCTACATATTGAAGTACTGGATGGAGGACATTATTGAAACTGAGTCAATAATGTCCATACAATTACATATAGGCATTGCAGGGTTATCATCAGGCAGGAAAGTCACTGGATTGAGGGCAGAGGTAGATAGAAATTCAATGCAGTCAGTGTCCAGTAAAAGGGCTTGGTATTGGACAATGCAAGGGTGGAAAGCCATCTATCTGGAAGGGATTGCAGAGTGTCTCCACAACATGTGGAGCCACTATCTGGAGTCTCTGGCCAAAAGTCAACTTGGTGGCTTCCTTGGTTGTGGTGGCTGCAGTTATCTGTAGGCAATTTGGCTATTCTGCAGCTGTGGGGTCTAATAGCCAGGAAAGATAGGCGGATGGAGGATGTTCTGTCTGAAAATCTTTCAGGTCCCTCCTCAGGCCCTCATCAAATAGAGTTGGTGCATTTTTGAACCCCTGAGGTAAATGTGTCCAGGTCAATTGTCCTGATTCTCCCATCTTCTTAGGGTCTGTCCATTCAAAGACAAAGAGGGGTTGACTTAACCAGAGCCAATGGTAGGGAGAAGAGGGCATCCCTTAGGCCCAATGTGGAGTAGCAGGTGTACACAGGAGACAGAAAACTGAACAAAGTATATAGGCTAGGAACAGTATATGAGTTAGGAAAGCAGAATCATGACTCTTATTTACCTCTCAGACGTCTTGGACAGGCCGATAGTCTGAAGTCCCAGGCTTCTAGACAGGTAGCAAAGGCATGTTCCAGGCTGACTCACAAGGAATCAGGATATTGACTTCTATTTTAGCCTTTGAATGTGTTTGGAAATTCCTTCCTTGGCCTTGTAAGCTGAGTGATTATTGGTGGACCTGGATTGGGGTGGCCCCCAGGTTAAGGGTGACTATAATTAGAGGTTAGTTGATTGTAGGTCCCAGTGGGTTGGATTCTGTCCAGACCCCAAGAATCTCCTTTTGCCATTTTTGTAGCAATGAAGTTGGAGGGGTGTCTTCCAAGGGCAAGTCCACCAGAAACAAGTATCCTTCAGTCAGGGGGCAAGTAAAAAGAATAACAGAAGAAGAGTAGTAGTCACCTCTGATCTAGCTTTCTGAAGATCTCTAATCTTTCTTGAAACCCAAGAGTCACTGAGGGGTTTGTGCCCTCAAAAGAGATTTGAGCCTATAACTTGTGGAGCAAGTCTCATCCAATCAGGGAGTAAGGACATTCCTGCATGACAAGGAAAGAGTGGGTTAGGGGCCCTCTGCTCAAATCCATAATGATGGCCTGAGTCCGTGGCTAAGCCTTTATTTTTCTAGTTGCTCCTTGACTGCTCATCTTGGTTTGAGTCAAGGGACCCACTGGCTGTTGTAGGAGTGAATAGCTTGCTCCTGTGTCAGCCAAGCTGACCTTTTGGCCCCCTACAGTAATAGTTAACTGAGATTCCTGGGGGCCAAAAGAACCCTGACTGGCTCAGTTTTGATCCAAGATCTTCAGAGTGGAGGTGGTCTTTTTCTGGAAGTCTGGAAAGCCCTTTTTCCAGTGGCCTTCTTTTTTACAATAGGCACACTGGGTTTTTGGCTAGTGGGGCCCTTTTAGATTTAGTGGGGGTTCCCTGAGTCATGTTTGGTTTTAGGATTCTCTTTTTCTCCTAGAGCAAGAAAGACTTTTGCAATACTTTTGCTTAAAGTCCAATGGATCTTCTTGGTTGTTGAAGACCTTTTGGGCTATCTCCATTAACTTTAAGAGTATCTTACCTTTGACTCTTTCCAGCCTTTGAAGTTTTTTTCTAATATATGGAGCTGACTAGGAGAAAAATGTGATATTTAAGGTGCATATTATCAGGTGCCAACAAGTCAAAAGGTGTATAGGAGGTGCTCCAAGATGCACCTCCTGACAAGGAACCTCGTCAGGTCCTTATCTTATCTCTGTTTAGACAGATTAGTTGATTTCCAAGAAGCTGCTTTTAAAAGCACTCAAGTCTGGCTAAACCATAGGAGAGCCTTCTTATCTTGAATGGGCAAGTGAAGGACTTGGGGCAGAAGCCCAGAAAAGGGGCACTACAGCTGGCCGGGCTGCGCCAGGAAGCTGCACTGCTGCCCTTGCTCTTGGCCCTGGAAATCTGGAAACCACCATTGCCCCCGCCGCACAGCATGGGCTTTGGCTTTGGCTCTGGCTCTGGCTCAGGTTTCCGCTCTCTGGTTGCTTGTGTTGCTGCTGCTGCACTAGGAGTCACTGGACAGGAAACAGTTATGGTGCTGTGCTCTGGCTGAGCCTCAGCACAGGGAGGAGAAAGGGGGGTTGAGCTATTCTCTGCAGTAGGAGCCCTGAGACATGTGGGCCTCAGGTTTCAGGGTGCGGGAGCACATGGCAGGTGCAGGGCCTGCAGGCGGGGGCAAGTACCCCCTCTCACTGGGGGATCTCTAGGGGACCTCTGGGTGGGGACCTCTGTGGTGGTGGTGGCAGCAGTGGCAGCTGCAGCAGCAGTGCTGTTGTTTTTCAGAGAGTAGAAGTAGACCTGCTAACACAAAGAGAGGTTAGAAGTCCCTTCTGGAGGCCAGTTGAAAGTGGGCCACTTAAATTTACCAAAAAGTTTGGAGCTTCCCTGGGTAAACAGGTTCACTGTAGGAAGAGGCTCTCCAATGAAATTCCTGAAAAATGGTTAAGAACACATTGCAAAGGCAACAAAAAGCAAATGCAGACTGACTCAATCACATGGATAACAGATGAATAACACATAAAACCAGTGACAAACAAGATTAACAAAACAAAGACAGAGACTAACAGACTGACAGAGAAAACTAGTTTGACTTTTTGCCAACAAGTCTCAGCCAATGTCTTGGTCTGAGAATGGTCTTGGAGATTTTAATGTTGCACCAAACATCTCCAAAGACCCCCAAGGGGCACCCCAACAAAAACTAAAACAATCTTACCAGTAAGGCTCTGGACTGCTCACTCTGAATTAGCATCCAAGGGTTTTGGTTTCTCTTTGAAACAAAGAGATTCCTTAGAGGCAACATCTCTTGGCAGTCCCCCTGAGGAACAACTGCCTCAAAAAGAGGCTTGGATCCTACAATCCCGGGTGAGCCCACAGGTGAAGTGGGTTCATGAGCAACAATAGTTGCTCATAGTAGTCAAACTGCTAAAGTTGGAATTTAATTAGCTGAGCTCATAACCACTTGTCCATTTCAGATTCCAAACAAGTGGCACTAAACTGGAAAGATACAGTTTTAAAAGAGAGAATCACAAAAGATGTCCTGTTGGAAACAGTTAGCTAGAATCTTACATTAATTTTTGGTTGACACCTGTATCCTGCTTCTTTTGAGCAGGTTTATTTTTCTCCTGTAGGTACAGCTAATTCTGCTTTTCTCGTGGGATTTATACCCTTAGTGATTTTCCGTTTTCCTGGGTCAAATATAGGGCACTAGTTAAATGCAGGGCTCAAGATCGCATCGGTTATGCCAACCTACAACAGATCTAAAAATACAGATACAAAATATATTTGCATGCATGCTTATATATACATGTGCACTGTGTTTGTGTATACAAGCGTGTGTGTGAGTTGTGATTGTGTGTGTGTGTGTGTGTGAGAGAGAGAGAGAGAGAGAGAGAGAGAGAGATACAGTGTCTGCCATTCAAGTATATGTGAACACCCCTCCCCCCTGGCTCCGGGGCTCGGGCTGCACTCCGGCACTGAGGCACACAGTCTCCTCACCCACCCAGGGTCCCACTGCGCAGCCCCGTCCTCGCTGCTGGCAAAGGGTCTGGAACGCCCCGAGCAAAGCACTCCTGCACAGCATGGTGAGCTGTGTGAGGGAACAGGGCATTCTGATCTTGTTCTCTTAGACACAGGACTTCTCCTGATGTACTCATGGACTGTGTTTGGGTTTAGGTTTCCTCAAGAACTCAACATGGGGAAGATAAGTGCTGAAATTATGTGGACTCTCTTCGCTCTCGATATGAAATATGCATTAGAAGGTAAGTACACATTTTATATATTCTTCAGTTAAATCACAATTTTGCATTCTTCAAAGGATAAATACCTTAAAACACTGATAATGTGAGCATTTTAGGGTTTTTTTTTGTTTTTTTTTTTTTTTTTTTTTGCTTGTTTGGGATACTGGAGACTGAATCCAGGGCCTTCATACTGAGCTAAATCTCCAACCTGTTTTTTATTTCCTATCTTGAGATACCATCTCACTCACTAAGTTGTCTGTGCTGGGCCCAAACTTGTGTGGTCCTCCTGCTTCAGCCTTCAGGGATGTTGCACTTATAGGCGTGTACCACCTGCCCATGTGCTCAACCTAGTTGTAAAATTTACTCCCCATGCTAGAAAGATAAAGGACTCCAGGTATTTCCAAATGGTAAAGAAGGACATACATTTTGGGCCAGGTGCTGATATGGTAGGGTGGCTTGGAGTAGGGTCCATGGGTTAGACGTGACCCAGTGCACATGAAGGCTAGAGCTGGCTTCCCAGAGGAACACTGCCACTGGTCAGGCCACAGCACTGGTGCACAGAGGGGAAGTGATGGGACGAATGCATAAACACTCTCGGATCTCACCCTGATCCGGGGTTGGACACTGACTGTAAGCCAGGCTCCAGTGCTCTGGAAAATCACAGAGTACTAGAAAATTCTCTTTGTTCTTACTCAACTGAAACAAATTAGTGTATCTATTACAGTATTTCTAAACAGTAGAATAGACAATTTGGGAGTTATTTGGATCTCCTCCCTATTTCTCTGTCTTCTGTTTTACTTGCTCTCACTCCCTCTCCCTCTCTTTATATATGAGAAACTGTAATATATTAGCTTGTATGTCTGCCCTACTTCACATAATATTATAATCTCTAGATGCTTCTATTTACCTAGGGATGCCTCAAGTCTGTCCTTCCTTGTGGCAGGGGAGTACTGCATTGTATATAAGTACTATGTTTTCTTTATCCCTTCACTCATCTGAGGGCATATCTACTGTTTCATTTATAGTATTAGTTTCTTAGTTCATTCAAGAGAAAGTTTTGTGGTTTTTTCTGTTTCTTCTATAAGAGACTCTCTCTGTCTGTGATGTATATGTACTCTGAGTAACATTTTGGTCATTCTTTTAAGCTTTGACACATGATGTGCTAACTATTGTTATTCCTTAATTATTTTATTATGAAATTTTGTTTTATTTTTCATAGAAAATTTTAAAATACATAAACTCTGCTCCTTAGCTATTTTAAAATATGTAACTAGAGGAGCAGAGAACTGACCTGACTTTATTATGACAAGTTTAACACCATTCTCACATGGGCCCACCAGGAACCAGGGCACCCCTCCCAACACACTCGGAGGTGGCAGCTGGTGATCACTCCCTGGGGTTTGGGGAAGGTCGCAGAGGGTCAGCAGGGTGCAGCAAGGTCCAAGAAGTTATCCAATGAGGCTCTGAATGAGAGTAGGGGCAGCAAGCCCCTGGAGGGCAGGGACAGAGTGTCTGTTTAGACAGTGACACCTGGTGGGGAATGGCAGGCCAGGCCCTGGAGAGGGTGGCACCAGACAGGTTTTTAGTAATGGGAGCAGCATGGATTGGGGATCAGGGCACACACTTCCTCTCTGAGAGCCCTGGGGCTCCATGCAGAAAACCTCATGGCTCAGCCAGCCTGAGACTTGGGGCCATGAATGCAGACCTCTCCACACTCCATTTGCCCATCTTCAAAGTAGTGCTGGTGGTTCCCAGGCTGATGCAAGGACCCAGTGCTGCCTGAGAGCACTTTGAAAACCCCAGGCACTGTGAATTCAGGGAACACTGTGGGCCCTGGAAAGGGAAAGGAGGCCATTGACCCCAGCGAAGGCCTTCAGGGTCCTGTCAAGTTCTGTCTCCCAGGAGCATGTTTCCCAGTACTTCTGCCATTTCCATCCAGGAGGTGACTTCCAGGAGCCCATCCTTCTCTCACCAGGGGAACGTGGCCCTAGGACCCTGTGATAGGCTCTTCTGCACATGCCAGTCTTACTCCAAACCTTATCCTGCCCTTCCCTTTGGAAGAACATGCAAGTCAGCCAAGCAAGCACCAAAGCCAAGCTGCTGCCTGGAGCCCCTTGCAGAGATCACATAATTTTCTTGATGGTGAAAATCTCCATGTCTGATTTATGATCAAGCAGGGGAGGCCAGGGGCACAGTGCAGAGCCCACAAGGACTGCCTGGGCATTGAGAGGTGGTGTGACTTTCTGCCTTCCTCTCTGAGCTCCTCACTGCTATGCAGGGGCCAATCTAGTTAAAAATGAATCAACGTTTTTCCAAAATTAGTTCTACCTGCATGAGCAAGCTTACTTTGTTTTCAGGGTTTTATTTTGTTTTTTAGAGACACAGCCTCACTGTGTAATTTAAACTGTCCTGAACTCACTGTGTAGCCCCGGCTGGCTTGGAACTGGAAGCAATCCTCCTGCCTCAGCCTCCTGAGTGCTAAGATTACAGGCATTTTCCACCACCCCCAGCTTGTTTGCATGCTTGACAGTCATCACCTTACAGATTTTATAAACACTCATTGATGTGGTTACCTTCGAGATAAAATGTGTTGAGTGAAATCATGACAGATCATCTTGCATGATTAAGAAATGATAAACTTTTGTGAGAGCTGGGAGTCTAGAAAGAAGACAGAAAGTTCAGATGAAATGTCTTGTTTATGTTGTACCCCAAAAACAAGGCCCCAAGATGTTATTCAAGAAAAAGATGTCTTATTTTAAAAAGAAAAAAAGTGCTTTTATTTAAGCTGGCACCAACGGCACAGTGCAGGTAGAGTTTGCAAAACTGTGCAACTGGGTTAGAATTTTGACAGATTGTTATAGTGATTTAACTGTTGACGTGATGAGAACAAGAATGGGGAAGGCCTTTGTTTCCCTTTGCCTGGGGTCAGAGATGATTCACAGTTGGTGGTTAGCCCTTTTTTCCCCTTAATTTACAGCCCTTGGTCTGCTAATTCCAGGAACATTTGTTTCTCACAAAGTGTTGACACAGCATCATTTGTCTCTCACAAAGGGAACAATGGTTGACACAGCAAACAGGTTACTAAAGTGATGATGCATACAGAACAGTATGGCGACGTGTTAGTTAATTAATCTATAACTATGTGGTCGGTGTTCCACGTACATGGTTACTAGGGTGAAAAGCATAGCAAAGAACGACAAAGCTCCTTGTGTTAATAACAATCTTTTTAACTTTGGATTTTAGCTTTTTAGCATTTTAGCACAACATTCCCCACTGATTTTTGTCAGTGATCCAAATCATTGGCTCATGGAGTTTTTAAATAGATGTATCTGTTCATAACCTTGTGTCTTTAAAATCATGAGTTTTATAGTTTGAACCTGATCTTTGACATAATTTACCAATTTATTTATAATGCAAGATCTAATTGTTAAACAAGTAAGTGAGATTAACAGAGGTCCAGAGGCTGCTGTAATTAATATTGTCAACCAGGGAGATAGAGAAAACCATGGCTCAAACCAAATTTGTTCAGCTTGTCTGAAGACAGGATCAGTTGGAATTTGGGGTCTGAAAGTCATAAGATTACACTGATTGAGGATGCAGGAAGATGGGGTCTCCTGAGTGAGGAAAAAGTAATGATCCCCTTTGTTTTCCTGCCAATGAGATATAGATTTACAATCCCAATGTCTACAAAATTATTTTGTCTCTATGGACTGTAAACACCTACTAGTGTGATCAGGGACTGGCTGTTGCTTTTGGGGGCAAAGATACCAGCCAGTGGACTGTAATTTCTTTTAACTAAGTAGGTCTCTGCAAGGCTCTATTAGCAACCAATCATGCAGTATGGCATGCAGACCAAACAACAATCTCTTTTGTCTAATTTTTGCTGGGATGTTATTTAATAGGGCACATAAATCTATCTTAATTATCCCATGGACAGCAGCATTGGCTGCCTATAATTCACCAGTGAAATAGTAATTTTCCAAGTTCCAAACAGTGGATTATGAGGTATCTCCTTGGGGTCTCCATAAGGAAGAACACATAAGAACAAGATTATTGGATACATTTGGCAATTTTAAGCTTTAAAGAATCTTTGGAGGGAACAACACTCTACTTATCTGTAGGCTGATCACTGTCGGAGGCTGGAACTGGCTTGAAGTGGCAATGATGAATCCAGGCAGGCTTTCTAGTGACTTTGACGGTGGTGGGAGTGTTGAGGACCACGGTGTAGGGGCCTCCCCACTGTGGTTTGAGAGACTCAAGAGATGTCTCTTGATGAGGACTAGTGTCTCAGGTTCCATTGCAGGACATTCGTCCTCGGGATGGGCTGCAGGCAGAAGTTGTTCTTGGAATAACCGATGGATGGAAGTCAGAACTAGCTGAAAGGCCTGGAGGGACTTAACAAATCTTGATTAGCCAGATCAGCTAATTTTTCCTCAGAAATCTTAGGAATAAGAGGAGGAGGTCTCCCATATAGAGCTTCAAAAGGGGAAACACCTGCAACATAGGGGGTACATAACATGCAAGAGGGCAAAAGGAAGGAGACTCACCCAGTTCTTGCCAGTTTCCAATGCCATCTTAGTTATTACCATTTTTAAGGTCTGGTTTATCATTTCTACTTATCCTGCACTTTGAGGCTGGTAAGCACAATGGAGTTTCCAATCTATCTACAAAGCTTGGGTTAGTTTTTGAGTTATCTGGGCTATAAAAGCTGGGCCATTGTCAGACTCCATGGATAAAGGGAGCCAAATTGGGGAAACTGCTATCAGGGCTGACTCAGACTTAGTAGGAAAAGCTTCAACCCATCTAGTGAAAATATCTACCATTACTAATAAGTACTTATTCCTTTGAAGTCCAGGCTTTCCCATTTTGTGAAATCTATTTCCCAATGTTTTCCAGGCATAGTCCCATGATAACAAGTGGTTTCCATTTGTTGCAGTGGTTTCGGGTTTACCAAATGGCACTAAAGGTATCTAACACTCACAGAGTAAGCTTTGATATCTGCTATCAGCCTGACAACTTGA